AAGAAAATCGCTAAAAAAAAATGCATAAAAGGGTGTGTTGATTGATGCATAGTTCCATCTCTATAGTCTATATACAAACTATTATTCTAACTATTATTCCATATATGCTTGTTTCTTTTATTTGACAGGAACTTGTGTCCAACCTTTTAGCTTTGTGCCTCTAAATTTAGTTTTTTAGTCCTTTTAGTTTGTGTATGTTAGGATTTTTTAATTTACGAATAATCTTGTTTTATATTAATTATATTACTTGTAGGTCACTTGGAAAAAAGCAAAACCACATAAAGGGAAGACTTTTTTTTTTTTCGAAATGATAGAACTTTTATAGAAGAACAAATGTACAATTAGGAAACAATCAAACAACTGAATAAAGCAGCTAAAGAGGCGAAACTAATGAGAAGATAGATCTGAAGATCGCCAAGAAACTACACTAGAATAAATCTAGAAAACGCACCCACCAACTAACACAAAAACAACTGAACTCCAACATTGGAAAGTAAGAACTCCCACACGGGAGAATAAATGCTCCCATAAAGGAGAAAAACACAAACAAAAAAGCTTACAGTACACAAAACACAAACACAAAACACAATATAGCTAGACTGAGGCCTTTTCCTCCGTATGAACCTGGTGAAGGTCACACGCGTTGGATCCAAGCCTAAATTCATATCCAACTCTGTTTGAATTTTAATGTTGGACCACAACTTAGCAAATAAATTTGCAACACAAAGATTATAGTGGTTGGCCTACACCGGCCCAGACCATCCATGTCCAATCTAGCTATAGTCCAATTTTCAAGTACCAAGAACCAATGTCCAAGATCCAAGACCAAGGCTCAATCCCGTGTCCGAGCTAGAGTTGAGCCAAGCCAACCGATGGGCGTGCGGGTGAGCGTACGCACACGTGCGTGTAGTAGAAGTCAACACCAACACTTGGTACATACTTTTGTTGTTGTTGTGACCTCTCTAACTTTGTCCTTATTTAAGAGTCCAATATGTGATAGGAAACTTGACTTTTCGAATCCCACAACTAACGTTTTACGTCCCTATGAGTGGCTAATTTTAATCATTTATTTCTTACTTAGGAAAAATTATTTTTTGAAAAATAAATATATAACGAGTATTTACTCATTTCTACACAATTTAACTAAACCTGAGTTGAATATTTAGCAAAAAAAATGTCAAATCCGAGTTGATGTGCTCGAAATATCATCTCACCAAAATTGTCTGTTCAACTGCCTCATCCCAATCGCCTCGTACCACGAACTAGGTCAACCTGAAAAAGCGTCGTGGGCAGGCTCCGGGGTAGACACTCCGCTCAAGTCAGAAAACTTATATCTTAAACGTATTGTAATTGAGAACTTATTGAGAGCTTTTATTAGAAATTGAACATAGATTCCTTATTTATAAGGTGTTTAATGACTTACTCTACAAGACAAAGAGTTTCTTTAATAACAAAAGAATCTGATCTTTCAGAACCAGTATACAGATATACACAAACTTGGTTGGATACCTCTTAGTAATGTTTCATAACTCTTTATAGGTATTTGACTAATATCATATATCTTTAAATTGTAATAATCGAGCTAAATCTCCCTTGGACCGGCCGTACCCGAGCTAACCGCTCAGACCGTCCCACCGAGCTATTCTGAGTGCTACATCATCTAGCCCCCCACTCTAGATGAGCTTGTTTGTAGAACTCATTTGAGAGTAGAACAATTATACACTGGCTAAGTCTATGGCGTCGATATCCTGGGCTCGTCTGGACACTACGTCGGAGGAGTGTTGCCTCTTGCGTGCAATTACGGCTCCCTGGCTAACTTTGCACTACCCTTTCCCCTGTGACCTCCGAGCTACCTGCTTGGAGTTCTGCCACCTTAAAACATTTGGCACCCGAGCTGCCTCTTCGAGTTATAACTATTTTGTAGCCACGACCTCGGGAATATGAGGTCTCTTTGTCTGCCCAATTCTCTTGAAGGAGCCCGACCTCCAAGTTCTCTATTCAAGTCAACTCGTGCCCTGAGCTATATACGCAGCTCCTGACGAAGTTGAGCACTGAAGCCGAGCTAAAACTCCTTTGAACCATCCGCACTCGAGCTAACTACTTAGGGCGGTCCACCGAGATATTCTAAGTGCTGCATCACGAATCAAATCCAATTTTATATAATTGGTCCATTTAGGGATGTTCAGTAACTTTGGATAGACAATTACTTGCTGCCAATATTTATTGCATTTGTAGAAAATAACAAGTAATTAATTACCTAATAAAATTTAAAGTTTTTTGCCTAAATACATAAATTAGTGAACTTATTCTGTAATTAGCCATGAACATACTTAATTTGTAATTAGTCAGGATTAGTTTTTGCATAATTTTTGCATTTGTGAGTATATTGTGTTTGATTTTTATTAGTGTACGTCTGTGCAGTGTTTTGTTTATATAATCAGTGGACATGCAAAAATTACTTGGTAAATATGACATGTTGATATTTTATTATTTCATCTATTATTATAGATAGATTTTAATCATTGTAGCTTTTTGGGTTGCTCATTAAGACGCTTTTTCACTATTGTAAAGTTGATTGAAATATTCATATTCTTTCAGTCAATTGATTGCTACATCTCACCCATTAATTTGTTGCTTTCCCATAAGAATTTTTGTTGTAATATTACTTGTGAGTTGACTTATATTTATTTTATAAGAAAAATGAGTCTAGTTTATAAGCTTGGTGGGCTACTTCTCTCATCACCAATTGGTCTATATCTACTCGGCTTGCTTTGGGCTTATGCTTACTCCTCTACTTGGCCTGCTCTGAGTTTGGGCAAGGACTCATAAGTGAGAGGGAGTGTTGGAATATTACTTGTGAAAAGTTTCACATTGATTCTACAGAGAAAATTAACGAGCTTAGTTTTATAAGCCTAGTAGGCTATTTCCCAATTCTTAAACCTTTTAACTATTTGAGGCTTCTATTAAAACTTTGGAGAGCCCCACCTCTATATAACCCTTCATTTTGCCACCAAGTTTATGTGTAACATAACAATCTAGGTAACATACATATAGAGAGATATATATCGATGGGAGAAAGTAAGCCATTTTTGGCGGTTCTTGTCATACAAGTAATTTATGCCGGATATTTCTTGCTCACGAAGCTTGCATTCGACGTGGGAATGAACACTTTTGTGTTCGTTTTCTACAGACAAGCAAGTGCAACTCTTTTTTTAGCCCCTATTGCCATCTTCATGGAACGGTATGTATGGTTTTATGAGTTTGTGCGGCGCGTGCTTGTAAATAAAAAAAAAAAAAAAGAAAAAAAAAATTATCGGTCTACGTTAATAATTTATGTAGGCTAGATTGTTCGAGTCTTATATATTGAATATTGTGACAATTTTGATCGATTTCGATTTGCAGGAAAAGTGCTCCACCATTGTCGTTCTCGATCTTCATCAAGATTTTCATGCTTAGTCTATTTGGGTATAAGTCTTAATTAGCACAAACTAGCTAGCTAGCTCTGTTTGGTTTAATACATTCATTTTATTTGGTATATGTTAAATGCTTTGTGGCATTGTTTTGTGATTTGCAGGATTACAATGAGCTTAGACATTGTTGGTGTAGGTTTGAAGTACACATCAGCATCATTGGGGGCTGCAACTTCCAATACCCTTCCTGTTATAACTTTTTTTCTTGCAGTTTTACTAAGGTAAAAAAAAATAAATAACANACTAGTATATATATTATTACACAACAAAACCAAGCATGCATTAATATTCCATGTAAAGTAAGTAGTCCATGGAATCTATTCCTCCTTTGATATATAAACATAAAAGTGACCATTTTGCATGGAATAAATTAATCTATATATATAATTTTTAGCAAGTCATTAAATAAAACCTAATAAATTTTACCTATGTGAAAAATCATTAAATAAAACATAATAATATTACTTATGTGGCATTAGTCCATCCTATCTCATTAATGATAAAATATTTTATTGCACAATTTTTTGTTAATTAAAACAAAAACCACTACATTTTATATTAGTTGAGTAATAATATTATTATTTTATTGAATCATATAATAGTTATTATTAAAATTAATAATTATATTGTATATTAAATGGTATATGAAAATTACATAAACATAAAAGATTATATTGTGAAAACTTTTTGTTCAAGTTATTTATTCTATAATCAATATTATATTTTTTCATCTGATTAAGTGATTGTTTTTTAAATAAATTATTTTTTAATGTCATATTAAAATTCTTTTAGATCGCATAGTCAGTTGTTATAATAAAGTTAATATTTTTTAGCTAATTAGTTGGTCATGATATCTCAGAATTACAAATATTATATTATTTATTATATTTTATGCAATCAATATAATGATTCGTATGCAATTAAATCGCTATGTACTCTTTATTTTAACCAATGATCAAATTTCAAAATATAATAACAATTCTAACTTATAATTTTGATATTATATGCAAATATAACTTATAATACTATATGTTTAAAATATAATATCATTATCTAACTTATAATTTTAATATTATATGCATAGAAATAATTTATAATATTTTATTTAAATATGTGCAAATGCACAAGGTCGNCAGAAGTGGAATTTAATTAGAGTGCAATTGACCGTATGCTTGTTTGGTTTTCCAGATAATTTTGTAGTTACGCTGCACTGAAAGTCGTAAATTATGAATTTATGTAAACTTGAGGTTGTATTATGCTCGATCAAAAATTAGGTTTGAAAAGCACAAAATAATTCACGTAAACTTTTGGTTGTATTTTGCTCGAACAGATATTAGGTTTCAAAAGCACAAAAGAAAAGGTACAAAAATGTTGGAAATTTCGTTTTTCATCTTTTTTTAGTACAACTCAATTTTATTTTTTTTTTCTTTTTTTTTGCCAATCTCTATGCTTTGTTATCTGTTGGAGGACATTATTGGGCCTGATTGTTTATAAGATATCTATTCGCTTTTAATTTTATTTTTTTAACTCAAAAAATTTAATTTAAATTTAATTCAACTCAACTCAACTTAAATCTTCTCAATCACTCACATAATCTTAAATTCATCACTTTCAATTAACTTTTTCATACTTTTATATCAAATCAACTTTAATCATTATATTTTAAATAAAATTACTCTAATTAACAACATATTCAATCAAAACCAAATAACTATAAATTGATTAAGACTGACCTGAGTAGCTAGCTAGTAAAATAAGCTTGTCCATAAGGCTTTTATTCCTAATTAATAATACATAAACTAATTTAGGGACTTGCCAAACTAGTAAAATACTCTTCATATTCTCCTATTATAATAAGGCAAGTAAATATTCTAGAGAATATAATATGACTCATCTTCTTTTCCCTTCATGAATTCGGTCATCACCACAGCCTCAAGTGCAACTTTTTCAAAGTCAGATGCACTTACGTTAATACAATATATCAGAATAAAACAAATTAAAGTACCTTTATCATGACGTGAGTTGGCCTTAGAACAAGAATTTCTTTATCATTCATTAGATTCACTACTCAACTATACTTAATTAACAAAGAAAACATAGCATAATACATGATATATATATGAAATTGGATATCTTTATGTTGGTGCAAACAAATTTTATCGGTCAAACAAAGTTATTATAATATAATTGACACTCTTTTTGTACTCTCTGGAGTTTTCTAGTTTTATAATATAATTGTCGTTTTGGAAAAAAAAAATAAAAAAATTGTGTACTTTTTTTGTACCTAATTAAATTAGTGTTATTAGCATGATCCATATCTAATTAATGAATAATAACAATCAATTGAAGTATAAATATACATTTTCTTGGTTGATTGAACTACTCAAATGTGTGAATCTATTAACATTTGATATCTAAANCTTGCTATTTAATTATGAACTATTAATCTATATTTTTTGTTGCTATTTAATTATAAATTATTATTTATGTGAAAAAAAAAATTGGGTGTTAATTTCCATGTACAGGATGGAGAGAGTGAACATAAGTAGAAGCCCTGGAATATTGAAGGTGTGTGGGGTGGTACTCTGCATGGGGGGCGTGGCGACAATTGCCTTTTTTAGGGGCCCCTTTTTGAAAATATTGGTGCACCATCACTTAGTACACAATCACCTCACACTTGAGAGCCGTGCAATCCCTTCACCCAATGCTTGGATAATGGGCGTCTTTCTCATGCTCCTTGCTAACTTATTTTGGGCCTTGTGGCTAGTTTTACAGGTTCAATAACTCATAGTATATCATATCTCGTGTACTACTTGGTGTTGGTTCCGGTTTTAATTCTATATAATTTTTTTTAAAAAAAAATAATATTACAAGTGTCGGCTCGAACCGGATCAACTGTTCCAAAATTGAAATTGGCCTAAAAATTGGATTGATTTTGATTCGAGGGTTTTACTTTAAATTGCTTTATTTAGATTTTTAATTCCATTTTTATCTTTATTTATTTATTTTTTATAATTTATGGTAACAGGGCCGAGTGCTAAAACACTACCCTTCAAAGCTGTTGTTGACAACTCTGCAGTGCCTTTTAAGCACAATTCAGTCATTCATAATTGCGGTTGCTTTTGCAAGAGACCCCAATGAGTGGCAACTCGGATGGAACATTAGACTTTTATCAGTGGCCTNTTCCTCAATATATATTATTATATCAAAATAAATAAGTAAATAACCCCAAATTTCACAATTTATTGATTGAAGAATATATTTTTATCATCAATTTTTGTAGGGAATTGTGGTGACGGGTGTTACATTTTACCTTCAAACATGGGTTGTTGAGAAGAAAGGTCCGGTTTTCCTAGCCATGACAACTCCACTAATCATGGTGTTCACAATCGTTCTATCGGCTTTCATCTTGGGAGAGATTATTAGTTTCGGAAGGTAAGTAACGTGTAGTTAATTATCTCAATTCGATGTGCCAAATGTCCCGTCTGATTTGATCAGACAAGACATTTGTTGTGCATTTGTTGAAATTACATACGTATTATTGATTTAATTTATTGTTTGTTGAAAATTTGTGGTAGTGTTTTGGGAGCAATTATTCTAGTGGGAGGGCTCTATTTTGTGTTGTGGGGAAAGACTAAGGAGGCAAAAAGAGCAAATTTAGAAAGCCAATGTTCTCTTGGTGATGCTGAGAAAGCATGGGGAGGATCAAATGAAGAGATTGATAATTGATTAAGGGTTTGAGTCTTTTTTTTTTTTATGTAGTCTGAAAATTTTAGTTTAATTTAGACCATGGTCAAAACCCACTTGTTTACTATTGGCATGAATTGATGCATATATGCATTGATTAAAGTGCACACTTACCATATATATATGTTGTGTTAGGCTATCAGGTTACTTTTGTTGTTTTTCTTTTTTTTTTTTTTGTATGTATGTTCCTTGAAAATGTACTTTTGTATGTGATAGTAAATTGGTATGAATAGTTTTGCTTATGGATAAGATCTTTGCTTCTAATTAAGAAATGAATAGCAACCACATGAGCATATATATGACATGTTTATTGAATTCATTAATGCCTTGAAAACATGAACATATTATTTGTACATTAGACAAGTGAGGATCATATAACCAACCATACTAAGGAAAATGTCATGTGGATGTCTCACTAAGGACTGGGATCATGGCCCAACAACATTGGACAAAGTGGTCTCAATCATTTGTATTCAATATGGACAATGTTTTAATACATTCGCGTTATAAAATCAGAGAAAAAGAGAGAATAAAGAATATGTATTATCTTGATATATTTTTTATTATAATTGAAACTATAGTTATAGAAAAACTTCTGATAGCACAATCATAAATATATAGTTATATTGAGAGCAAAATAGCCATTCATACTATATAAAATAATAAATACGATAAGTGAACCTACCGTAGTATAAATTTATAACAGTTTATTCCACTATATTTTGTTGTAAAGGTATGAATAGAGTGAAATGTAAGCCTATAACTCAAATAGAAATATAAATTTTAACAAATTAATGATAGGAGAAACCATCGTTGCAATCTAAGTAAAGCTATTTTCATCGACTTATGATGTCATTAGGGTCCTACTTTAGTGACAGAGTGCGACAACACTGTGTCATGCATGAACAAGACTGCAATTGAATCGCAAGCGCTTGATTCACGAGTCGAGCTAAAGCACCTCGAAAACAAACTTAAGTCATGTTTGAGCTTGGCACTTTGCAAACTCTAGTGCTCGAGCACCTCGAAAACAAACTTGAGTCATGCCTGAGTTTTCACTTTGCAAACTCTAGTGCTCGAAAAGTCGCTTGAATATAAATATCGTAAATCTAAATACCTCAAAGTTGAGCTAAATTTAGACAAAATTCTTATTTTGGTAAATATATATTTATTGAAAATTCAATCTACACTTAAAAAATGATTCAAGAGGTGCGATGCCCAAGCCTTCCAAGTAATTGGTGAGGTCGGTTTTTGTCATATGGAGAAGGAACTCTACCAAGCAAATAAGATTGACACACCAACTTATAGTTGGACCTACATCTAAAAGATTCTGATGGGTTCACACGTCATAGGCCCATGGACTACATTTATCAAGTTGGCCCAATTCTACAAGGTACTCTACCTATACAAAAGGGCAATACCGTTATATCATGATGATTAGTATGATAGAATAAGGATCATTCATTCATTCTCTCATTCTTAATTTAATGATTGGTATATATTTCATAAACGCGTGACTATTTCAGTACTCATTTTCATAGGATTAGTCAATCTAAAGCAAATGTAAGGTTTTCTCATTTTCATGTCTTTAGAATTTGGTTTTTCGCAAAATAAATTAACGAATAAAAATAAAAAATAAGTACATAAATATAATATAATGTGATAACTTATATTTAAAATATGTTGTTTTTAAATAAATTTCAGATAAATAACTATAAGTATTTTTTTATTATTCATATTTTACTTCGGTATGTTAAATACTTATATAAAAATAAAATTATATGCTTATAAGGGTTATGGTACGTAATGATATATTAATGTTAGCTAATGATTCACCTTATTTATTATAAAAGATGAGTGTAACACTATATAAATATTTATTAAAATAAAGTATATTTTTTGAAATAAAAATAATATTAATATTTTCATAAATAAGAAAATAATATTAACATAAGTATTAATTTTTTTTATATAAACTAGTGATAAATGATAATATAAGATGACATGAATAACAGTTCACTCAAGTCTTATCCGTCTCGCTTACCTCTACAAAAAACAAATGTCATATTCCAACGAAAAATCATACGGTAATATATTCCAATGAAAATTCCAAACGGATATTACAATGGTATAACTTCCGTTGGAATGAGTTTTTCATTGGAATTTGGATGGAATTTGATCATTCCAACGACTATTATTCTAACATTTTTTTTATCGTAGCAATTTTCGTTGGAATTTTTATTTTCACCCATATTTCAACCGTTAGAAAATGTACCGTTAGAATCGTCAAAAACCAACGCAAATTCCAATGGATAACTCATTCAAATGAAATATTTTTGTTGGAATTTCCGTTAGAATCCATTGGAAAATTTAAATGAAAATAATAGAATTGGAATATCCATTGTAATTACTGTTGGAACTCCATCGAAATATATTTCTGTTGAAATTTTTCATTAGAATTTCATCATATTCTTGTAGTCTACCAAATACATCCATTCCTATCAATTCTATTTCTATCAATTCAATCATGCCTTGGTGCTTACACCGAGGGATGCACGTTTTCAATATTTTCTTAAAAAAAAAATAATTACATTTATCAAATAAATACGAATTAATTATGATTAACTACTTGTAAAATAAAACAAATAAATCAGAAAAGAATAAACAAATTGAGGAAAAGACAAGGGTGAGATTAAACTCATCCCAAATATTTGAGTAAAGCCTCGGAAAAAACTTAAAAAGAAAAAAAAAAAACATTTTGATGACTCTAATATAGTTCGGTTTGTCCATATTTTGACTCACACTCAGGAGTATTGAATAGTTAACTTAATTTGAAGTTTGATTAGGATTTGTAGAATATTTGTGTATATGGATACTATTTGATTCTATTTAATCTTAGGTATTCTTGAATTTTTGAGAAGTATATTCTATAGCAATGGAAGCAAGCAAATAAATTGCATTTCTTATATTCACTTTTTATCGTAATATCTTGATTACAAGATCTCATTATCTATCTGATTACGGATTTGAGCTTCAGAATGTCTACATCGAGGGCTTTCAAGCTCGTTATGCAAGTTGATGCAAATCATAATTTGAGTTGTTCCACATGAGACAGTTCAACCAAAAATCTTGACATATGATATTATGTACACTAGTTTTTGTCCCGTGCATTTGCACGGAAAATTATATGATACATGAAAAAAAAAAAAAATTATAAACAATAGTAAAAATCATAACAAAATCACTGAAAAAAATTAAGAAAAAAATATAAATATTCTTAAACACTTCTTTATAAAACAACGCCGTGGTTTTTTTATCGTCAAAATCTCCCTCAGCTCAAATCAAAATCTTCAAACCCCACTGACTTGTAACTCTAAAAAGCGCCACGTATAATTACTCATGACTAAATGCAGAGCTCTTCAGTAATAAGCCGACGTGCGACAGAGACTGTCTTTAACTCTTATTGATCATGTCATAGCATAGGAAACACTTCTTTATATTGTTTGTCCTTAACTCTTGTTGATTGATAGAGATTGTCCTTGCTTCTTAATAAAAAAAATACCATCTAAATATAAATGAGTAAATATAATATTAATTTTTTATATAAACAAAAAATTTAAAGTAATTGATAATGAGTATAGAATTACCCTTGCGGATTCAAGTTATTTCAACGATGTTCTTTTTATATATCTAAAATTTAATTTTTTTTTTCTGATTTATATGAATATAAGTACATTTAACTAATTTTTATAAAATTTATTGAAAAAAGTTATTATTTTTTTGAAAAACTGATAAGATATTAAGATAATACTATACTTAACATAAATGTGAGATTAATTAAAATAAATCTTTTTAATTTAGTCATTAACTAATTAAATTTAATTATAAGAAACCTTCTTAAATGTGAGATTAATAAGTAATTAATTAAAAAAATGTAACTCATTTTGGAGGAAAAGTGAAAATATTTTTATTAAATGTTTTATTAAATGAGATTAGCTAGCAATTATATATATATATAGATATCAGACCTAATTTTGGTCTATTTTAGGCAAAAGTTATTTTTTCTTTATGNAGGGTCTTAATTTGCCAACTAGCTAAAATGAATGATTTATAAAAAAAAAAAAAAAATAAAATAAAATAAAAAAATAAAAAAAATACGAATGTAGGTGGGAGCATAAACAACGCTTCACCTTCCAATTCCATTCCCTATATTTCCATGGCGTTACAGTATTTGAAGTTCCCAAAAAAAGCCTTTCTATAAATTTGTCACCCTAACTAATTTCTCTCTCTGACCTCTGCCCATTATCTCTCTCTCTAACTCCGAATCTTTTTGTGAGAAGGAGAGGGAGAGAGAGAGGTCGCAACTCGCAAAAGGACAATATTTATTTTAAAATTATTTTGTTTGTGTGTGTTTGCGTGAGAGAGAAAAATGGGTGGATGTACGTCGAGACATGAGGTGCTGAAGAACGCCGGCGAGGCTCCGTTGCCAGCTCCGGCGAACGACCACCACGCTGAGGTGCCGCCGGCGGCCGTGCGGGAAGAAGAGGATGAAGCTAAGCGTCAGTCACTTGGCAAATTATTCAACGAGGTAAGTAATACATGGACGTTGTTGTTAAATTTATTTTTATAAATTAAAATATATATATATATATATATTTGATTTTCTTATTATTTATAATAATTTATATTGTTATTTTATTTAAAATTCACTCGTCCCATTTATAATAAACTTTACCTATCTTAAACAAGTTCTTATGCAATCTCTTCTGAATCCAATATGATTTTTTATTTTATTTTTTTGGGAAAATTGCATATAAAGGCATCACTTTTCATGCTTTTGCAATTTAATTACATTATTTTCTTCTATCTGCGTTCAAATCACCACATTTCCAACGTTTTGCAAATCGAAGCATAAATTTAGTTTTCGCCTTATGGAAGCTGATTTGGAACAGACGAAAAGTTTAGGTGTGTACTTTGTGCCTCGCAAAACATTGGTCACATGGCAGCCACGTAAACTTTCCGTCTATGCTATGTGATCAGCTCCTACCGGCCGAAAATTAAATTTATGTTTTGATCTGCAAAATATTGTAACGGTGGTGATTTAATCGCAAATATCTAATGGTGATTAAATTGCAAAAGCTTGAAAGGTGGTGCCTTTAAAGGCAATTTTGCCAAGTATTTTTAGCATGTCGAACCCAAAACTATATGCATACTTTTGAGCATGCTTAATATTTTGTCAAATCTATTCCATTGAAATATTACGGCTATGTTTGGTAAACCTAGCTGATAAGTTATCTTATAGCCTACTTTAAGTGAATTTCAAGCTTATAGCTCATAGTTTATGACTTATGACTAAAAATCTAGCTTATATGATAAAAATGTTTGTAAAATTAGCAGATAAGCTAGTTGAAATAAAAATTTTAGTGAAATTATTTGAAAAACTACTTAAGGAAGCTTATGTGATAAACTCAAGCTTCTTAAAAAAACCTCGTCCTACCAAACCAAGTTTATTTGAATACATGAAGGTTATAAGTTAATCAAACAAGTTATAAACTAGCTTATATACTTACCAAACACAGCTTACGTGCGTAATATTTTGTCCGATAAATTTTCAGAGCACACACGATAAAAGCTCATCGGAGCAAGTTCAACAACAAGACGTTAAGCCGCAAGAATCCCCCGTCAATCAAGTTGTCGAGAAACAAAAGATAGAAGCCTCTAAAACTGAAGCTTCCGCAATCGAGAACAAAGAAGAATCTAAAAGCGAAGCTCCCGAACCCGAGAACAAAGAAATAGCTAAATCCGATTCTCCCAAAACCGAGGACAAAGAAGTAGCTAAAACCGAAGCTCCCGAAGAAAAAGAAAGCAATGCTGCTAAAACAGAAGAAGCTCAAGAAGGAAACGGCTCACTATCTGTTGAGAAAGAAAACAAAGAAGAATCTAAAACCGAAGCACTCCAAGAAACAGAGAACAAGGCTGCTAAAACAGAAGCTCAAGAGAAAAATGCGTCACAGTCAGCCGAAGAAAAGCCCGTTGAGGAGAGCACAAAGCCCGAAACAACATCTTTAGAGAAAGCTGAGGAGAAGAAAACAGAAGAGGACAAATCCGAGACGGGCTCAACCGAAGCTAAGACGACCGATGAGAAGAAGCCTTTGTTTAAATTATGGTTTTAACTTTTAAGATATAATACGCATGCTAGTCGACATGGTTTGACCGGACTTTGACTTACTATCGGACTCGACATCTTTTTTTTTTTTAT